TGTGACAAGAGGGCGGGCGGGCCCTGATGTCTGGGGCTATGTGCTGGAGGTACGGGCGCTCTGGAGTCAGGTGGGTTCAAACCTGGGTTCAAATCCTGGCTCTCGGCCTCCCAGCTGATGATCTTCAAAAAGTTATGCAACCTGGGGATAATAACACCCACACCCCCCCCCACACACACAGAATACAATGAGTTATTCCATGTAATTGTTTAGAACGACACCAGACACAGAATTCATGGTTCAACCACGTCAACCATTTATACGTTCTCACAGCCACTGTTAACTGTGCTGTGGTGGTTAAGTTTATGCATCAACTTGACTGGGCTGTGGTATTTAGTTAAACAGTATTCTCGACGTCTCTGTGATTGCGGTTTTCGGGTAAGATTGACATTTAAATCAGTGGCCTCCAGGTAAAGCTGATTGTTCTCCACGATGCGGTGGGCCTCATCCAATCAGTCGAAGCCTTACTAGAACACAGACTGACCTCCCTCAAGCAAGAGAGAATTCCTCCCAGTAGACAGCCCTTGGACTCAGCCGTGACTCTTCCCTGGGTCTTGTACTCTGCAGAGTTTGCGTTTCACCAAGCCAACAGGAATGCGCGAGCAGTGTCCTTATGCTAAGTCTCTCTGTATATGCGGTTGGTTCTGAGCCTCTGGAGGACTTTGTGTCCCAACAGCCTGAAGTACAGGCTCCATGCTCCCATTTTGCAGAGAGGAAAGCAGGGAAGGGACGTGGCCATGGGTGCAGCATATCATTGGGATGTAAAGCCAAGTACGTCTGATCCCCAAACCCATTCTCTGTGCTGACTCCCAGATGCCCATACATGGCACTGACGTGCCTTGGGAAGACCTCGGCTGGCCACGTGATGCGGAGGAGAGCAACCGTGGCCCAGTTAGCATGAGCCCAGAATCTGTGGGTCTCAGGCCACACGGGCCAGCAGACTTGGGGCGGGGGGGGAAGCCGTGTGTCTGTCTGTCTCCATTCAAAGGATGTACAAGGAACCCGCTGCTGGCCACGTGACCCCTCCCTGTCCCGGGGCCCGTTGATCGGGGCTCTTGGCGTGCGGGGTATTGGAGCTGCGGGCAGGGGATGGAGACTCCGCCCTTGGCGGGGCCCCCACCTGGCTCACCCAGGGGGCTTCGCTCAGGGACAGAGCGCGGGCCCCGGAAGCCCAGGCTGGAGCTCCCAGGGGGGCAAGGTGGTGGCTGCCTGTGGGATGCGTAGGCCTGTTAATGACCTTGAGCAAATGGAGCGACTTGCTCAAGGTCACACCCTGAGATGGGAGCAGAGTTGGCTTTGTCCCCCTAGTCTCACCCAGCCTGACACTGACCTTACTGGGTCACTGTTCTCTGCCTTCTGTGGAAGGGCTGCTTAGTAGGAGCTCTGGGGTTTGAATGCAGGTGTGGGCGCCCACAGCCCATGCCCCTTGCCACCTGCTCCGTCGGGTCCCCCATTTCCAGCTGGTCCTCTTCCACTGCCCTCCCCCCGACCTGGTGCCTTCGCCACCGTTTAACTAGGGCATCGGCGGGGTCCAAAGCCACTGCCCTCTCTGTTCCGCTGCTCTGGGGCAGGTGGCTCCCGAGGGCCCGGGGCCCTTCCTCCGCATGACCGCCACAGCAAGTGCCCGTGTCCCCGGTGGCCCAAGGAGCCTCTTCATTTCCCTGCTGTGGTCCCGGGCCCAGCCACAAGTCCGGGCTCAGACGTGAACCATTTGCCTGAGGCCGACGTCCCCGCCACCGCTGTCCCCACGGGCTGCCAGTCAGGCGTGCGCTCTAGGGAAATGAGGGGCCACCTGTGCCGGTTCCTGGCCTCCAGGCTGACCTGGAGCTCCTGGGGAGCTCGGGGAAGAGGCAGGGTGGAGACCCACCCTCTTCACAGAGTTGTGCCTTCCTTGTCATTAATTCACCGCCAGGCGCGTCGCCACAGTCCCTCCGCGTGCGGTCTGTCGGGGACCAGCGCGGTAACAGAGCAGGAGCCACGTTGCTGGGATGCAGCCGGTGCGCCAGGCGCTGTGCTGAGTCCTCAGGTCCTCACTGCAACCCCGACGGCGCTTCTGTTGCTCCCGCTTTACAGGTGGGGAGACTGAGGCACGGGTGGGTGCAGTAACTAGTAAACCCGCGGGAGATGGTGCCCATCTCTGCCTGCCAGGCTTTTGCGCATAAGCACCGCTTCAGTGCCCCAGAGAGACACTTTTTTTTGAGAGAGGGAGGGAGAGAGAGCATGAGCAGGGGAGGGGCAGAGAGAGGGGGACAGAGGATCCGGAGCTGCCAGGCTCTGTGCAGAGAGACAGATGCAGGGCTCGAACTCACAAGCCATGAGGGAGCTCGTGACCTGAGCCGAAGTCAGACGCTCAACCGATGGAGCCACCCAGGCGCCCCTGAGACGACCTTATTTTCAACCCCTCCCTCACACCTTCACCCTGGATACCTGTGCCCAGGAAGGAGGAGAAGCCGGGCCTCACTGAGCACCTGTTTCTGGCACAGCTGCTCCCAGTCGTTATCTTGGATAGGACTGGCCTGTGAGGGAGGCGGGATCATCTTAGCCCCATTTCACAGATGAGGAAGCTGAGGCTCAGGGAAAGAAGGCCCGCTCAGTAAGGGGCAGGGACGGGATTTTTCCTGGTGGCCGTACCAGCACCCCCTCCGCCCTGCTCCCTGGCAGGAACACAGCAGCTTCTGGGCGGGGGCCGCGCCGTGAGCCGGCAGGATGAGGCACGCCTGTCGCTGTGGCTCCAAACACAAGCAGCCAGTCTTGACTCTCTCGGGATGTTGGCAGCCACTCCAATGGTGGAGCAGGTGCCACACGACCCTCAGGTGCCCGAGGCACATCACAACGCTGCCCCGGGGCTCTGCTGTGTCCTCTCTCCAGGCCCCAGGCGCCCAGGCAGTCGCCCTCAGTCCCCGGAGCGTTTGGCGCCCAGGGACCAGGGCGGATCGAGGCAGCGGATGCTCAGACACCTGCGCCATGACATGAGTCCAGGCAGGCATCGGGAGCGGAGCGGGGCTCAGGGAGGGACGTGCCTGGGCGAGGTCACGCAGCCAGTAAGCAGCAGAGCCAGGATCGGCACCCAGGTTGGGCAGATCTGAGCCTTAGAAAGAAGAGCCGTAGAGAGTCAGGGACCCCGGCCTTTTATGGGGGTGAAGATCGAGGGTGCCGTGCCAGGGACAAAGCCATGGACGCTGGAGTGTAGGGTATTTGTTAGCACCCATCGAGCACATTCTTGCATCCCTCCCATTTACTCGCTCCCACTGAGGGTGGTTTGGGCCACTTTATGGGTGAGGAGGCAGAGAGGACTCAGAACCCCTGCCTGGCCCCTGTCCACTGGGCTGAGCCCTTAGGGCCCAGGAACAGGACCACCTCGCCCCCACCCTAGGCCTCTGCACTCCCGTCGAGAGCTCCCTGAGTCTTCTTCTCCAGGAGCAGCACCCCCTTGCTTCACCTCCCTGTGGGACACGGTTTCTGGTTCTTTATCCACACCGTGGCCTCCTGCAGGGGCCACCCCGTCCGCTTCACTTCTGACGTCTAAACTTCTCTCAGCAGGGTGACTGATGAGGTTAAGGTCTCTGGAAACTGGCCCCGAGGCCTCCCCGGTGACCCTCCTTTGAGGATCTCTGAGCCAGGCTGGCTGGGGTCGCCTGTCCGCCACACCTTCCCAGGGGAGGAGGTCCTGCCCACCTGTCCCTGGCCCCACCGTAAGCCAGACTGGAGCCGGGTTTCCAGCCACCCACTTTTGTCCCGGAGGAGGCAGCACGGTAGCAGACGGAAGGATGTGCAAGTCAGAGGACAGATTGGAGGGTCGGGTGGGGGAGAGGAGCTGCTGTGCCCCCTCCATCCCTGGGGCAAGGCCTCACTTGGGGGTGCCCCCTGCACGCCATCCCCCCTCCAACCATCTTGGCAAGGGGAGGAGGGAGGTTCAGGGCGGCCCCTTCCAGCCCGAAGCAAATGGAGCTAGTTCCTCTCCGTGAACACGGGGGCGGCAGATCTAAGGCAAATTCACGGCCTTTCCTGGCCCCCGTTTTCTTGTCGCCTCCCCCCCGCGTACTTTGCGTAAGCCTATCATGGCTCTCCATCACCTCGGCCGCCAGTGGCCACACAGAGGTGAACGCGGGGACGTTGGGCCCGCACTGGGCCACACGGGTGACGGTTGTGTCAGGCCCAGGCCACCCTGGGGCGCGTGCTGTGTGTGCAACCCTGAACGAGAGTCACGGCACCACGGGGTTCCCGGGCGCTTGTCCTCGGAGCGGCCCGCACCCCAGCCTCACCCACCTGCCCCTCCCAGATGATGTCAAGGCCACGGGGGCTGCGGAGATGATCCAGTCCGGGGCACCGAAGCCCAGGGCTCACGCAGAGCCTCGTGCACCGAGCCTCGCGCACCCTGGGGTTTGAGTCACTGGGTATGTGTGCGTCAGCGTTCAGGGCTTTCATCAGAATCTCAAAAGGATCCTCATCCTCGAAATGTGAAGAGCATTCATTCCATTTTACGCGTAGGGAGGCCGCAGCCCAGAGAATGGCAGTGACTTGCCCAAGGGTAGTGGCTGCACAGCTGGCTGGGAAACCAAGGCTCCTGGCTCCCCGTCTAGTGCTCCTTCCTCAGATTTTGGCCTTCAGAGAGATCATCCCTGTCAAGGGGGCCCCTTATTCCTTTCCCCTGGGAGCCCCTCAGTCCCCACCACTTTCTGCAGCCCCCATTCCGGTCTCCGATTCCTCCAATCCACTCACTCGCTGTGTGGCTCTGGATAAGTGACTGTCCCTCTCTGAACCTCAGCGTCCTCATCTGCAAAGTGGAGACATAACAGCACATCAGAAGGTCGCGAGAACAGGGGCGCCTGGGAGGCTCAGTCGGTTAAGCATCCGATTCTGGATCGCGGCTCAGGTCATGATCTCCCGGTTCGTGAGTTCAAGCCCCGCATCGGGCTGTGTGCTGACAGCACAGAGCCTGCTTGGGATTCTGTCTTCCCTTCTCTCTGCCCTCACCTGCTTTTGCTCTCTCTCTCTCTCTTCTCTCTCAAAATAAATAAATAAACTTAAAAAAAAAGGAAAGTAGTGAGAAAAAAAGTGGGATGGCAGAGATGGAGAGGGCTCCACGCGGTACCTGGCATGCTGCGAGCCCTCAGAACCCGTTAGCGACGGAAGTGACCTGTGCGCGTCGTCACCACCATCCCAGCAGGCCTCGAGGCTTCGACCCTGCCTCCCCCGCAGAGCTCACAGTCTCCGAGGCTCCGGGCCACGTCCCCCGGGTGTCCTGTCTGTGTCCCTCGAACCCCGCCCAGCCCTGCCGCACCGTGAGCTAGTCAGCGCCTGCTGGGTTCGTGGCTCTCTCCGCCATCGTGCACCCTGGGGCTGGGGCCACACCCAGGGGCTCCTGTTAATTTAGATGCTTTCTTTCTCTGCCATCTGCTTACCCCCGAGCTTGGTTAGAGAGCCTGACTTTGCTGGGAGTCTCCAGAACGTCCCGGGACCTCCCAGCAACCAGCATCTTTATTCTCCCTCCTTAGAACTGACGCGTGCAGTCGCTGTGCCTCTGCAGCTCAGAGCAGGGGTGGTTCCTGTGAACTGGGGCCAGGGGTGGTTTCCTGGAGGGGGCAAGGCACCGACTAGCCCTCGAAGAAGGAGCCGGGCTTGGCTGAGGTGGGACAGGGGGAGAGCATGAGGTTTTCGGCCAGCTTTCTGTGCCTGGGAACCCCCTCTCCCCACAACCCTGGATCCCAGAGGCCTTAATGGGCCCCAGCTGTAACAGACTCGTCTGTGTCGAGCATTCCACAGTAGGTGTCCCCAGGCTCCCTCCGGGCCACCAAAGGACCACGACAACATTACGTGGACAGGGTCTCAGATTCCGATGGGTGCCCTGTTTGCTGGAACCATCTCCCTTTGGAAATTTTCAGCTCTCTTTTCTGACAGTAACCCCGCCCCTTGGTGCTGGGTACGGAGGGGGCACCCAGAGCGGGGCTCACCGGCAGCGCTGACTGCTGCGTTGTCGGGCTAACGGGTATTAACCGCCTCCCTCGCCGCTCCCATTCTCTTAGCTGCTGAAACGCTGCTTTTTAGCAAAGGCTGTGACCTCATGATGTTATACGTCGTGGAGATTGAGAACCAGGTCCTAGCGTCTGACTATGTGCTTCGAGTCCCCACTTTTGCTGGTTGTGCGACCCAGGGTGAGCTTCGTAAGCTTCTCTGTGCCTCAGTTTTCTCATCTGTGGAATGGGGCCGGTCATAGTCCCCGTTATTGTGATCATCGAGCAAGATGGTGAATGGCGAGCGCACAGCATGATGCCTGGTTCTTACTGGAACACCTGTCCTGGATCAGGGGCCGTATATAAAGTACTACCTGCCAGGATCAACTTGATCCGGTTCTACTCTGTCTCCTGGGTGAGTATCTGTGCCCTTTACTCCCAGATGTTGGAAATGTCAGGGGCACGGGACCTGTCCTTAACCGAGTGGCAGAAGGTTAAGTTTGTGTCCGAGATAGCAGGACATGCTTTCTCTACCTCCACAGGGCGTTCTCCCAGACCCCCCAGGGCCCACCATGCCCTAGGAAGGGATCATCCTAATTCTAGCCTCTTCTTCCCCCCCCCAGAGTTCTCAAGCTTCTCCACCTGTCCAGGTGTTTCCCCACCCCTTCGGCCATGGCAAGACCGTCACTATGTAAATGTCTGTGCAAATCCCCTGGTGTCAAGCTGCCAGCTCTCTGATGAGGCAGGGCCACCTCCGGGGACCCCTCACTTGAAGTCTGCTCCCTCATCATCCTGCCGCGGCTCCTGGCTGAGCCGGCTGAGAACTCAGACTTCTACTTGGCTGGGGATTACCTCCTCTTCACCCTCCATGCCAACGTGAAGGGCATCGTCCACCTCAACCTCCTGCAGGTGCCCCAGTGCAAGGGGTGAGTCGCCAGTGTGGGGCTGGAAGTGGCGATGGGGGCGGAGTGGGAAGCCTGGGCTGGTCCTGTGCTCCTCAGGGGACCACGCCAGGACCAAGGGCTCAAAATGCTCCTCATTCATTGCCAACCTCTCATCCCGCATTATCCCCACCGGCCTGCAGGGAGACCCCATGCAGTTCATGTTACCAAAATCTTTGGCAATTGTATTCTGAAATATGGAGAGCTGGTTGTCCCGCGGTGTCTCTTAATAAATAAAGAGTTACAGGGTGTTTGAGCCTGGAGGGGTTGTAGAGACCACCCCCACCTACTTTGTCAAGTGGGGAACTCCTACTGAGTCCGTGTCAAGTCCAAGTCTAGACACCAGGGGTTATGCCTTTGGAAGGCAGAAATGTGGTTTTTCGGTAGCAGGTTCTCAGACTGGAGGGGAAGGTTTGCATTTCTCTAGGGCTGTGGTTAGGTGGGAAGGGGTGCTTCCAGGACCAGAAGGGATTTCCTCCACTCACCTTGTCCCCTGTGAGCCCTGGGGGTGGCTGCATCACTCAAGGTTGGGTGAGACACCTTTGTGCAAGCGCGAAGGCTGGGATAGCGGACCCAGCGTGGGATGATGAGATAGTGACTTGGTGCAGAGAGGGTGAAGGCGTCCTGTGAGAGAGGGAGAGAAACAAGAGTGTGTTAAAGCTGACTGTAAGAAATGCACCCTTTATGTGACGTTGGGGAAGATCACATGCTGGCTTGAGAATGACGAATGTGGTGGTACCAGTGACGGCACATTGGCGAATGAATGTTCTGATGCCGCTGATGACGGAGGGGAGTTCAGTGATGGTGGTGATGCTGATAAGATTGATAGCAGTAATAATGGTGATAATGCAAGTAGTGAAGAGTACGGTGAGGATGGCGGTGGTGGTGATGGTGTTGGTCATGGTGGTGGTGATGATGGTGGTGGTGATGGTGATGGTGGTGATGGTGATG